GGACTCCCTCATGCTCTCGTAGTACTCGATGGCCAACGCAAAGTCAAACTCGTTGATGGCCGGCCCGTCGATGGCGATCTTCATCAGGTCGGAGAGCCCCTCATCCTTCGCGCAGCGTGACCGGCCGCGCTTCAGCAGCTCCCGGCCCCGGCTGATCTTCTCAGCAAGGACTGAGCCCAGTGGCAAGGCCAGGGCGATGGCCGCGAGGACGGCGAAGTCTGGGAAGAGCTCGTGCATCTCGGAGTTGCTGTAGACCAGCTTGACGCAGAGGTCCTTGAAGGAGAGCTGGCTGAGGCTGAAGACGATCCGCTTGAAGAGGGGGAAATCGCTCAGCGCCCGCTCGCTCACCACCACCCGGGAGTAGGCCTGCAGGAGGAAATTCAGCTCGCTGACCCCATAGCTGCCAAGGTCCTCCAGAGACTGGGGGTAGCACTTGGGGTTGAAGATGGCCGAGAAGGAGCTGACGGCCTCCAGGACGCTGCTGGGGAACCTGTCCAGCAGGTTGCCCCGCACGCTCTCCAGGTAGCTCTCCTTCAGGCGCTCAAAGTGCTTCAGGTGCACCTCGGAGCAGTTGGCCAGCTCGACACCCTTGTAGTAGAGGCGGCTCTCGCCCTCCCGGTCGTCCTGTGGGTGCTCGTTCATCTCGTTGAGGAACTCCTGGAGGTTCTGGCCGCTGGTGTTCTTCTGGGCCTGCAAGGTGGTGGCTGTGGCGGAGACGATGGGCTTCAGGATGGAGAGGTCGAAGTCCTCGATCTGGAAGAAGCGGCTGAGCTTCTGGAAGATGGGCAGGACGTCCAGGAGGATCTTGGTGAAGGCCACGAACTGGAACTTCTTGAGCTCTTCGCAGAGGCCGTGGGCCACGGGCGACCGCTCCGCCTCGCTCTCCAGCAGCAGCACCAGCGTGGGCCACGAGGAATCGATGGCTTCCACAGCTGGGAAAATAGAAGTCCAGTGGATGGCTTTGGGGCTCCCGAGGTCTATCTCGCAGAGGTCCAGGGCACTCCGCAGCTCCTGCAGGCCATCGCTTTCCCCCCTGAAGCTGGAGTAGAGCCTGTACACAGCATCCACGGTGGTCTCGTATTTCTGGAGGTACTCGATGCTGACGATGCTGTCGGCCGGCAGCAGGGAGCTCCCGTGGGACAGGCAGTGCATCTCCGTGAGGAGCGGGCAGAGGGAGGTCAGCGTCGCCCCCACCCCA